GCAGCCCCCGCCGCCTGCCCTCCGCGCGCCCGCGCCCGCCGACCCGCTGCTGTCCTTCCACCTGGATTTGGGCCCCTCCATGCTGGACGCGGTGCTGGGCGTCATGGACGCGGAGCGCCCGGGGGCCGCTGCCGCCAAGCCCGACTTGGACCCCAGCTCCGGGGCACAGCACTCCAGGGCCCACTGCCGCCCCAACGCGGATCTCGAGCTGGACGACGTCATCGGCCTGTAGGCACCCCTGTTTCCGACGCGTTTACCGTCCGGCATCCTACTTCTTTATACATAAACGGCTAAGGTCTCTGCTCCGAGTTCTGTCTCTTCACTTTGCTCGTGGGAAGGGAAGACGGGGTGGAGGGGCAAGGGGGATCGGTGATGGAGTCCCGGCGCCTTTAAGGACCAGGTGTGTGTCACCTGTAGCTCTTTCCCCGCAGAGGCTGGACGAAGGTCGAGATCTTACGTGCGGTTGGCCTGGAGTGGTGGGATGTGGCCCCTTTAACTGCGGGGGGCGTGGTTACACGGTGCCCCTTTCAGGGTTGGCGTCCCAACGTCGCCGCCGCTCTCACAGCCCCATTCATTCATCAATTTTGACCGAGCGCCTGGCCTGCCAGACCTGGCCCAAGGCCCGGCCTGACTTGCTCCCGGGGGCCCACCTGACGTTCCCGGGGTCCGGCCTGACTCGCTCCCGGGGACCCGCTGACTCGATCCCGGGGCCCGGCCTGACTTGCTCCCGGGGGCCCACCTGACTCGCTCCTGGGGGGCTCGGCCTGACTTGCTGCAGGGGACCCGCTGACGCTCCCGAGGTCTGGCCTGACTCGCTCCAGGGGTCCCGCTGACTCGCTCCAGGGGGCTGGCTTGATTCGTTCCCTGGGGCCGAGTGCAGTGGCTCCGGGACCCTGACTCCCAGCTCGCGTATCCAGTGAACCCCTCGAGGCGAGCTGCCCTTACCCTGTGAGCGGCCGCGCAGGAAAGTGGTTGGGAAGAGGCAGGGTCCCGGTAGAGGAGTCACACCCCCTTCGGAAAGATGCGTCGGCCGAGGGGGACAGCGGCGTCCCAAGTCTGGGCTACCTAGTTTGCGCCCTGCTGGGGTACAGTTGTCCTGCCGAGGGCACGACCCACAAGGGGCGGAAGGGCGGGGCAGCACGTGCAAATCTTTAGGCGAGGGGCGGAATCACCCCTAGGTGAGGGCGGAGCCAGCCCAGTGACAAACCTAGGGTAGGCGGGGTTATACACGCGGAGCGCAGCCGAGGGCAACCCAAAAGGGCGTGGTCGCTCCTGTAAACCTCCTGGACCCGCGATAGGGCGGGTCCGGGTCCCCGAGGGCGTCGGTCTCCCTGCGGGCGGTGCCCACCCAGCCGGTAAGCCCTTTGGACCGAGGAGGGCCACACACATATATGCATGGGCCGCGCAGGCGCGGTCAGGCTCCCCGAGGACACCGTGCGCACAGAGCCGCCCGCCAGGCCAGTGATCGGAGGCCCCGCGAGCGCGCGTGCTAGGCTCCTAGGGCGGCGGGAACGGGGCGCGGCCGGTGACTTCCCGGCGAGGCTTCCCCCGCACCCCGCTCCCATGGCGGCGGCCCCCGCAGCCGAGCCCGCGGCGCCGCCGGCCTGCCGCTTCTTCCTGGAGGGCCGCTGCCGCTTCGGCGCCCGCTGCCGCCAGCCCCACCCGGGGGCGCCGGCGCCAACTCGCCGCGGGGCCGAGGCCGAGGCCGGGGCCGAGGCCGAGGCCGAGGCCAAGAAGCCGCCTCTGCGCACGGCCGCGGCCGTCATCCAGCGTATCCGCTGGGACCCGCGCCTCGACCCGGCCGACTTCTCGGTGGGCTACGCCGACCGCTTCCTGGGCGTGCGCGAGGAGCCTTTCGGCGCCTTCTGCTGGGACGAGCCGCTGGCGGCGCTCGGGCCCGGCGTCCTGGCCGTGCCGCAGCACCGGGTGCGCTACTTCCGCTTCCGCGGCCGCATCGTGTGGGACCGCGCCTCGCGCACCGACTTCGTCTTCGGCTCGGGCTCGGCGGCGGGTCGCGGGCCCACCATCCTGGACGCGCTGGGCGGCGGGGGCGCGCACGGCGGATGTGAGGCCACACAGGACGGCGACGAGGACGCGCACGACAGCGGTGAGGACGCGCACGACGGGGAAGGCGCCCATGGCGGCGGGGGCGCGCACGGAGGGGTGGCTGCCGTTCCCGCTGATACCGGAACCGGGCTGGAGGCCGGGGAGCGGCGCAGGGCCGAAGGCCAGGCTTCCCCGTGGACAGAGCTTGAAAGGGTGTTGAAGCCGGCCGCCACGGAGCCACCCAGTGGGGCGGCACAGGCAGCCCCGGGACGAACCCCCGCAGGAAGTTTTCCTGAGACGGAAGCAGAGTGGGGTCCTGATGCCTGGCCCTGGAAAAGCAGAGGGGCCGCTGGAGCCAGGGCCGCGGCGCCTCGCCAACCCCGCCCCACGCATTTTGTGGCTGTCATGGTGACTGATCCCGCGCTGCAGGCGGGGGTGGCCAAGGCCCAGGAAGAGCTGGTTCGAGCCGCACCCTCGTGTGCTGCGTTCATGGTACCCGCGGGGGCCCTACACCTGACACTAGCCCTCTTGAGGCTGACAGGCCCTGGGGAGGTAGCCGCCGCAGTCGGTGCACTAAGACGCGTGCTCTTGGCCCCAGGAATTCAGGCACCCCCACAGCTGAGCTTTAGGAGCCTGCTTCTCCTGGGACAGCAAGTGCTCTGTGCGCCCCCCTCGCCCTCCCTGGAAGATATGGCCCAAGTGCTGAGAGAGAGGCTGGAAGCCGAGGGGCTCAGAGTAGTGCAGCCCCTAGGGGGGCTACACCCCCACCTCACCCTAGCCAAGGTGCCCCACGGATCTAAAGTCGGCCTCCCCCACCCTGGGTTCAGCCCCAGGCAGGAGCTGGGGAGCCAGCTCCTAGGGGAAGTCTGGCTGTGCCGCATAGGCAGGGCAGGGGACACCTACCAGCCTCTGGCTGAGCTGCCCCTGGGATGACGGTCCCCTCAGACCTCTGCAGGAGACTGCTCTCAACCCCAAAGAACCTGGGAGGACCCAGGCCAAGCAGGAAGGGACAAAGTGCTCTCTCTCTCTCTCTCTTTAATTTTGGTTTCTCTCAAGCTTCCAAATGGTGCTCAGTGATCCAAGGAAAGAATGAAGGAAGGAGAAGGGAGGGGAGGGGGAAGGGAAGGAAGCAGAGGAGGAACGTCTGGAAAAAAAGCAGCCTGACAGTCCAGCTGTTTGCAAACTCATCGCACATCCTCCAGTTACATGGCAGAAGGGGGGGGCAAAAAGAAAAAGGGGAGGAAGAAAAATAACTTAAATAAACACACACAAAAAGAAAAGAGAAGGAAACATGACGTGAGCTGGTGATCCATGAAGGCAAGGGAGGAAGGGAGGGTAACCGTTTTACCTGTGCGGAACCAAAGAAGGGTGGCGAGCAGGAGGAGGAGGGAAGGAAGGAAAAAAAAACCAGAAGAGACACGGGGGTGGAGGGAGGAGGGACACGGAGACAACTTAATGCAACTGCAGACGAGGCGGCCCGGCCAAGGTCCCGCGATGGCCTCCGGAGTCCTCAGTGCGGAGTGTGGGCGTGGATGTGGTGGTGGCTTGGCGTCGGCATTTCTGGCGTGGGGGGCTGAGGGCGGGGCACAGTCTCTACACAGCTCCCCTAGCCCCAAACACTGAGGCCCCGGAGGGCTGGGCAACAAGAGTCTGTGGTGAGGCGGGCAGGTGGCGGGTGGCGGGCTGGTGTGCTGGTGCCCCCGCCATGGGCGGGCACGGGCGGAGCGGCCTGTCTTCTTCTGGCCCCCCCGGCATGGGATGGGCCAGGGTGCCAGGTTGGTACCGGAGTACAAGCTCGAGAGAGAGAGAGAAAAAACACTGAGACAGCATTAGTGGAGGTGCCAGGTGGACACAGAGCAGCCTACAGACCATGCCCCCAACCCTCCGCTGCCCCACCCCCTCCTCCCCCAACCCATCCCTCTGAGGCAAAAAATAAAAATGTAGAAAAAAATCTCTGTACAGACTCCCCGGTAGGAAAACGGGGACAGGGATGGTGGCTCTTCCTGGAGCCCACTCCCCACAAATTAATTTACAACCCAAGTCCATGGCTCAAAAACAAAATCGGCAAAGGCGGTGCTGGGGGGCCACAGCCCTGCCCCCACCCCGCCCCCATCCGCGCTGGTGCTCAGAAGGCTGACAGCTGCGCCAGGCTGAGGCGGCAGTCGATGCTGGCGTTGTCCGGGCCCGTGTATGCCAGGCCCAGGGGCTCTAGGAAGGCCCGGCAGGCGGCCTCGCCCTCGAAGGCCAGCTCGGCCTGCAGGAAGGAGACTGGCAGCGCAGGGCGGAAGCTACGGAGACAAGAGGAGAATGTGATGAGGCGGGCGGCGGGCAGGGGAGGGCCCCACGAGCAGGGAGTGGGCGCCCCCCCTTAGGGCACCCAAAGGGTTTCCTCGGCACGTTACCTGCTGACCTCTCACCCCTCCCCCCCAGCCTCCCCACCTCCAGGGCTTGGGGGGGCCCGGGGTGGGGCTGGTGGCCCGAGCCCCGGCTGTGCCCCCCTTCACCCTCACTTACCTGTACGGGGGGGACCAAGGAGAGGGGATGGGAAGGAAGGGCCCAGCTGGCTCTTCCGCTGCTCAAGGGCCTGAGCAGTCCCTCAGAAGAGGGCCCGCTGTGGCCCAAGGGCAGGGGGCCAGGCAGAGGGAGTGACCCGAGGGGATGGGGATGGGCATGGGTTGGCAGGTCTGACAGCTACTCTGGGGGCCCCACCCTGGCTGTTCCCCCTGCCTGGGTCAAAGTGCCTCAGGAATGCCAGGCACAGGGTCAGCCAACGCCTATTACACGCTCGCAACAGTCACTTGAAGTTGCTAAGAAGACTTGGCGTATGCCGGGAAATGGCTGTTAACCTGCTGAATTCTCTCCAGAAACTGCGTCACCCTACCCTTTAGAAACAGACGCCGAGGGAACCGTAACTCCAAAGGCGGAGCCACCTGGCCAGCATCACACAGGGAGAATGCCGCACAAAGGACATGACCCAGTCCTGTCTCAAGTCCGCGCTCCATCACAGCTCTGGATATCCATGGGAGCACAAGAGAGCCTATTTCTCCCCACAACTGAGCTGGCCTCCTGGCCACCCTGCAAAAACCTGTTCTGGGGGCTCTGGGAGGGAGGAGCTTGTCTGCTAAGAAAGGGGGGGGGAAGGAGAGCGTGCAGCCAGTGTAGGCCAAGGCCCCTCCTACAAGGCACCTTCACGGCTATGGCCCCAACCAAGACCCAGCATATATGAACTAACCAAAACAGTGACCAGCCCACACGACACCCCTGGGAGCCACACAGAAGCTTGGGAGCTGCTATCCCGCTGCAGAGGGCAGACTCGGGGACAGCCCACGGAGCCTGTAGACATCCCACCTCCCTGTCACTCCCAGGTAGGTAACCAGGTCCTGTGTACCCTGTCACCTTCATGTTTCTGTCCCACGTCCTTGTCTACTTCTGCGGCTCCTGCCCTGGCTCGGCCTCTGCCTTAAATCTGGACCCAAACCAGATCCTGGAGTGTGTCTCCTAACTTCAGTATGACTGTCCCTCCCCAGTTCCACACCACTCCTGTGGCTCCTAAGCTAACTGAGGTGGCCCCTTGGACCTACCAACCTCCGACTGAGGGTTCTCAACCTTGGCAAGACTTGACACTGGAGCCAGGTGATTCTCTGTTGTGGGGCGTCCTGGGCACTGCAGGAGGCCGAGCAGCATCCCTAGCCTCTACCCACTAGACACCAGTAGCAACCCCTACTTGTGCCAACAAAAGAGGTCACCTGACATCTCCCTACGTCACCCAGGGGCATCTCACCCCCGACAGAAAACCACAAGTTCCCCACCATGCATGTGCACGCAACACAGGAAATAACTAATGTACAGAGAGCTTGCTCTTTTTCATACAGTCCCTGATCTGGCTTGTCCCCGCATCACACCTGCCTCCCTACATATTTTCTGTACTCTTAAAGGAGCTCAAGTTGGAATGGGGTCTTGATCCCGTTAGATCAGAAGCTGCCAAGAGCACAGCCATCTTTCCTAGTTTGTCTCTACCAAGGGGGAGCTCAGTGTCAGGAGAGCCTTGAAAGGTGAACAGAGACCTCCGAGTGAGAAAACCAAGAGCCCAGAGCAAGAAAACAAACCAGGGTCCAGGGTGACGTGAGCAGGAGAAAGAGAGACTCGGGTGGAGAGGAAACCCTGGAGCAGCGAGACAGAATGGGGAAGAAGAGAGATGCAGAGGCGGGCCCAGGGAGACAGAGGGCCAACCGTGGGAAGGGAAGCGGGAGGGGCTGGGGAGCAGGGTACGTGTAGAAAGAAGACATGGGGAGAGAGGACCAGTGTCCAGGGCACGGGAGCTGGAAGCCTGACAGCCCAGGAGTGTACAGAGGGAGGAGGGAAGTGGGGAAGGAAGGCAGCGGCAGGGCCAGCAGAGCAGAGGGGGGCAGGGGAGAACCCAGCTTCACATACGTTTTGATCATCGCCTTGAGGGCAGCTTTGCGCTCCCGGTCTGCAAACTTGTCCACCAGGTACCCAGACATGCAGGGCGCATGACAGTAGAGCCGGAAGAAGCGGTGGTAGTTGCCCAGAGCCCAGGCCGCCCTCAGTGCCAAGGCGTGAGCCACGCAGGGGTCTGCCTTCAGTTCCCGAGTCAGGTACGCCAGCTCCGTGGTGATGTCTGCGGCCCGACACAGAAGAGGATCAGCAGCGCCCAACCCTGGGGGCCTGGCGCCACCCCGTCCCGCAGGCAGCGCCTCTCACCTCCTGAGTTCTTGGTGAAGATGTAGTAAAGGATGCGGTAAGCAGTGAACTCGCCCACGTTGCCTGGCAGGTTCTCGGCGTACAGCGACTTGAGCTGCGTCTGGCACTGGTTGAACTCCTCATGGTCGCCCTGGAGCCCGGGGTATAGAGAGAGAGAGAAACCGTGAGGCCGGGACGGGGAGCCCAGGAAGAACCCAAAAGGGCCTCAGCACCCCACTCACCTTCTCCAAGGCGATGCGGGCATGCGTCTCATACACCTCCACCGTGAACTCCGTTCGCACACCTTGCACCTGGAACGGCAGGAGAGCGGTGAGGCCACCGCAGGGCAGGGCTCTCCCACCACAGACCCTCTCAGCAGCCCCCTCACCGTCAGGTCCTGCCGAATCGACTTCATCTGCTCGCAGGCAAAGGCGTAGTCTTGCTTCTCTTTCCAGTGGGACTTGACCATGCCCAGAGACTTTTTCAAAACCTGGGAAGGAAACCAAATGATGGCTCAGAAAAATTTCAACAGAGTGAGTGAAGCCATCACTAAAACCCACTACACCTCCAGCAACTCGGTGTTCTAAAATGAAGGCGGCAACATCAGACTCCTTCAACAAGTTGCTACCAACTTTAAAAAGAACCCAACGCGTTTGGCAAGACTAACTGCTCCCGACCTCCGCTACCCACATCAGCGTGTCCCCTGGGACGGGACATGAACCATGCCGCTGCTGTGGCCTCAGGAGAGGACACGGGGGCCTGATCCATCCCCGTCTCAGGCAAGCTGCCCTGGGAAGGCCGCTTCCTTAGGAGACGGAGGCTAAGAGCCCAGCAAGTCTCCCGATGAGGCCACACGACCCGGACTTAGTCTTCAAAACACAAGTTCTGTCCTCAAGTCACCTTTCAGAGAGCTCCCAGGCCCCAACGTCCCTGCCCTGGGGGGGAGGGAGCTCCCAGGCTCCCTGCCACCACGCCACAGCCTCGGGTGCCGTCTCTGCCATCCTTCCCGTGTGGGTGCCGCGGCCTCAGGCCAGCACGCGCCCTGCAGGGAGGACCCGCCCAGCCCGGGCACTTACCGCCACAGGGCGCACAGTGGATGGGTCAGGGGCGCAGGTGAGACGCAGGTAGTGCTTGGTGATGTCAGGGCAGGTGCCCACGATCTGAAGCTCCTGCCAGTCTGGGTCAGCGCCACTGCTCTCCAGGCTGCCCATCTGCAGGACCAGGGGCTCGAGGCGCAGGCGGCGGGAGTGTCCGTGCTGGAAGCGGGCCGCCCGCTTCTGCTTCTTCAGCTCACGCTCAGGGTCGTCGCACTCTAGCGCGGCCATCTTTTTGCGGCTGCGCTTGGTGGGACCAAGATCATGCCTGGAAAGGGAGATCGGGGTGCACAAGGCCGATGCCGGAGCCCGCCCCTCCCACTGCACCCCAGGAACCCCGATCTCAGCCCCACCCCCCCGGCCACCCGCCGAGTCTCACCTCTTCCCACGCTGTGCCCTGCCTCGGCCCCGGTCCATGTGGGCCCCCCGACCTCCTCGGCCCTTCGGGGGGGGGTTCCTGCGACCCACAGGGTGACACTCATTCCCTGAGTAAGAACTGTCTGAATCCGAGTGGGAGTCACTGCACAGAAGCAGCAGGGAGGTAAGGCCTGAAGTGGCCCCTCCTCCCACGCCCCTCCCCCCACCCCCAGCCCCCCCAGTCCCCCCCCCCCCCCCCCCGTACCTGCGGCGGAAGTGGCGAGTAGGGGACCGGGAGGAGGAACGGGAGCGGGAGTCCGTGCTGGAGGAAGAGCTGTTGTCCTTCATGAAGACATTGCGGTTGCCAAACTTGGCGAAGCTGCTGCCCCGGGCTCGGCCAGCACCCCCAGCCCCTGGTGTCCCTCGCTGGGACTGGGCACCCCCGCCCCTTGTCGCTGAGCCTGCCCCCCTGGGAGGATGAAGGCTGCTAGGGGCCTCCCACCGCTTCTTCTTGGGGCTCTCAGCCACAGGCTCCCGAGTCAGCCTGAGGATATAGCAGGGCAGGGCATCACCAACCCAGCGCCCCCACCACCCCCAACATCTGCCAGCCGCCCCAGAACACACAGCCTCAGGCAGGAAAGGAACTTACCCAGGCGACTCAGCTAATACACTGCAAAAATGGGAGGCAAACCCAACGTTTTCTCTGTCTAGAGAGTGCTCTTCGCAGCTGAGTACTGTGCACTCGCCAGCCTTCACAGCCTGCACCCCACCCCAGAACTGCACCCCCAGGTAGCGCCTGGACCTCCACTCTACGCTCCTGGCCTTCCCCCCCGCCCCACCCCAGATCCAACTTTCCCACTCATTCTCGGGGCTCCAGGTACCTACGTCTGTAGGTCTCCACTTCAGCACCCAGAATCGCCCTCCTCCCCATCCCCAGCCTGGACTAACCCTGGCAGGGGCTCCCGACTCCAGTCAATGGTGTAGGCCGAACCATCCTGCAGCCGAGCCTGCAGCAGCTCCTTGAGCAGCTTCTCCGTCCGGTCCTTGTCCTCCTCCGATTCGCAAGCAGTGAAGCAGCGCTCCACATACTCTTTCATATCCTGTGGCCAATCGTCGGGCTTCCCAGACAGGCTCCCCCTGGGGAGGGCAGATGGGGGACTCAGCCGAGCAGCCAAGACCGCCATTGCTCCTGCTCACAGAGCAGGCACACAGCCAGACACAAGTCAAGCATCTTTTTCCCCCGCTCGTTTCATGCCCACAGCAACCCTGAGGGAAGGACCCATCCCCTTTCTGGAGGAGGAGACTGAGGCTCAGGGCACAGACTGACTGCAGAGGCAAGGGAGCAGGGACAAGAGCAAGGAGGTGGCCGTCACCTGTGGCTCTGGGCTTTCTCAGGGTTGGGCTGGGGGCCGAAGCTGCTGTGCTGGCCCTCTGAGGGGGAGCTGAAGCTCTGGCTGGTGACAGCAAAGGGCCGTTTCTGGATGTTGAACTTGAGACCACCGGTCCCAGGGGCTGCTGTGAGAGCCGCAAAAGCTGGGGTTAGACCACACCCTGGCCCGCCTCAGGCTGCCCTATCCCCAGGAATGGGAGACGCCAAGCTCCAGTGACGGGCTCCAAGGCAAGTGCATCCTAAGCCTGGGGATGACCACAATATCCAGAAGTGCCCCACGCCTGGCTCTGTAAGGTCCAGTCCCCGTGCCCTCTCTTCTGCCCAAGTCTACCGCCAACTTACGCTTCATCCGGTTCCACAGCTGTTGGCCCTTCTTGGGCTTGGCAGGCTCGGAGTAGGTGTGTGGCCCATAGGCCTGGCCTGAGGCAGGCCCTGCTTGGCTGTGCTGTGTGGCTGGGGCCGTTCCAGGCTGGGGGCCACTGTTCAGAGTATGAGCCCCATGCGGGGGGTTGGAGGGCTGAGGGGGCTGGGCTGCCGGCAGCTGCTGCGGGGGGGCCTGGTAGGACATGCTTTCTTCCATGCCAGGAACTGGGGGCTGGTGGAGGAAGCCGCTGCTGAGGGCAGGAGTAGAGCTCCGTGCTGGCTCTCACACTGTCCTCACGATCACGGCATCACTTAGCTCCCAACCCTGCACGGAGGCCCTCCCACATCTCATTGCCCTGGGCGCTCAGAGCGACTCCCCGAGGAACGGACAGTTACTGCCCACGCTCTTCACAGCTGAGAGGACTCTGGCTCAGACCCTGAGCTGCTCTCCAATGGCCCCCAGCTGCTGAGCAGCAGCAGCGGGCATTAAACCCTGCCGTCCACCTCCTAGTGAGCGCCGCCACGACAGTGCACCCACCCGGGGTTACTGTCTGAGCACATCGTGCGTGCCAATCAAGGCCCACACGTGATTACACGCATTCTCAGGGGCCCTGTGAAGGGATGATCCTTCCCACTTGACAGGAGTGGCTGAGATGCAGAGAGATCACATGACTTGCAATGACACCACCTGATGGGAAGCTGAGATCCCAGGCCAGATCTATCCACCTTCCCTGCACCAGCTCCACACTCCTCCACACGGTATGCTAAGTGCAAGGCCCGACTATGTGTGTGATGGTGTATCTATGTGTGCACGTGCTAGGGGAAAACTCAGAAGACAGGCTGCCACGCTGCAAACCGCTCCCACCATCACCCCAACACCGAGCCCCAAGTCCTAAACCCATCCTGGTTTCAAAAACCGTGCTTTGCCCTCCTCGTTATCAGATCAGGAGTTGCTTGGCAGGAGAGAAGCCAGGGAGCTGGCAGCTTAAAAAATGCAAGCATCCCCACTACCCACCCATTCACAAAAACTACATTCCCCTTCTTGAATGTGCCACGGAGCTAGGTAGGGGCGTTACCTGGTTCAGAGCCCCCTGGTGCTGGGGTGCCGATGGCTGCTGGGGTGTGGCGGAACCGTAGGAGCTAGCCATGCCATACTGGGAGGGAGAACCGTAGCTCTGGTACATGCTCTGCCAAAGGCACAGAAACGAGGATCAGTGGAGGCCCAATTCCCTCCCCCTTCTCCTGCCTGCTCAGGAGCCATACGTAACCTGTGACACTCCACTTCTCCCTCACTCCTATTTCTCTCCACTGCATAAATGCGCCAAGTTCTCTTGCGTTAAAAACAACTAAAATACAACGAAAACCTCTATCAATTCCATTCCATATTTAACAAATACTTACTGAGCATCGACTTTCCTAAGCACCACAACAGAACCAAATATAAGACGTGAAAACCCATAAACTAATGAAGTCTACACTCAAAATGCGCACAGTTGTGGACAGATACAGAGCGTGTCGGGCAGTAAGCTCCGTGAAAGCGAGCTGGGGTGGGGCAGAACACTGCTTTAACTAATCCCGTCAGTCAGAGAAAAGGGCTCCCTGAGGCATGACCAGGGAACCCTCTGCAAGGTGGGGGCACAGAGAGACGGGGGGGGCAGGGGAAAGCTCTCAGCTGGATCACGGGGGCAGTGTGCTAGTGGAACATGTTTCGGAGGCTGCGCTGCTGTCTTCAAGCCCTGGCCCCAGGAGCCCGCCCGCTGGCTCCCACTTCCAGCACCCGGCCTCCCGCCAGTCCCTGCAGGGCTGGGCGCTCACCATGGGGTAGTAGTAGCTGTACGGGTAGGCGTAGCTGTACTGCTGGTACCACTGGTAGTACTGCTGCTGCTGCAGGGCCGAGGCCTCCGCCTGAGCCACGTACTGCAGGGAGACACGTGTGCCGTCAGCAGGGGCCGAGGCCTCCGCCTGAGCCACATACCGCGCGGAGACACGTGTGCCGTCAGCATGGGGCCAAGGCCTCCGCCTGAGCCACATACCGCGCGGAGACACGTGTGCCGTCAGCATGGGGCCAAGGCCTCCGCCTGAGCCACATACCGCGGGGGAGACATGTGTGCCATCAGCACGGGGCCGAGGCCTCCGCCTGAGCCATGTACTGCAGGGGGAGACACGTGTGCCGTCAGCAAGGGGCCGTGGCCACGTACCGTGGGGAGACACGTGTGCCGTCAGCACGGGGCCAAGGCCCCCGCCTGAGCCATGTACCGCAGGGGAGACACGTGTGCCGTCAGCACGGGGCTGTGGCCCCCGCCTGAGCCACATACCACAGGGGGAGACATGTATGCCGCCAGCACGGGGTCGTGGCCCCCGCCTGAGCCACGTAGCCCGGGGGGAGACACGTGTGCCGTCAGCACGGTGCCATGGCCTCCGCCTGAGCCACGTACTGGAGGGGGGGGGTCCCACGTGTGCCATCAGCACTGGCAGCAGAAGCCCACATACCCTGTGGCCCCCAAATGTGTCTAATTACTGGTGGCTAACTGCTGAGGACACAACTGGGTCCACCTCTCTCCAAGAGTCACAGCCTCTACCCATGGACTCGGGGCACCTTAGGGACCCAGGGCACATCCCCCTCTTCAGGTTGGATTCCCAGGGACAAGGACCACATGGTGCCCTGGGTTCTTCAAGGAAACAGACCTTGCTCCCCCTATCTGAGGCTCCTAGAAAATCTTCAGGGCACCCTGTCCTTGTTGATACCAGAGAACACCAAGTGTCTCCCTCCCCAGCAACCCCCACTCAGGGCACCCAGGTCCTGGGTGTCTTCTCACCTGGGCACTGGCAACAGGCCCATTGCTGCTGGCCTTGGCGGAGCTGCCGGCGGCTCCTGCTTTGCTGATGCTGGCCAGAGCCTGGCGGGCCTTCTCCCACTCTGGGTTCTCATGCATAGGAGCCTCCATGCCGTTCTCTCTGCCTGCCCCGGCCACCATGCTGTACTGAGAAGACCTGCAAAGAAGGGAAGTCGAGTCAGTCTTTTCTCCCCCTGTACACAGTGGGCAAAATGCAGACAGGCACACACCAGGACTTGAATCCTAAACTCCCTCCTGCTACCTACTGGAGTCTAAATTTTTAAGTCTAGAATATGTTTTGATCTGTAATATGCTGACAATGGTTTTCTGTCTCATGCCTTCCTGTGAGAGAATATCCAACTAGAGATAAAAACCTAAGGCACTTTTCCAGGTGCCTGATACACAGCAGTTGCTAAATACCAAATAAAAATACCAGCATCCTAAGAAGTTAACATAGCCCCTAGTACCTACTAGGTCTAAATGGTTTATGAGTCAATTCTGACACCTCCCCAGCCAGCAGGCTATCATCACACTGTTTTGGAAAAAAACAAGGTATTAACAAATCGATAAATGAAAATATTAAGTGTTGGAGGCTGCGCCTTAATCATAGTTCACGGGATGAATCATCCCAATTCTGAGAAATAAGCACTGTACCATGAAAACAAGATGCTCAGAAAGATGAAGGAAGACCTGACTGTCCACATTACAACCAAATGCTTCCCTTTATCCTCGTGGCCAGAGGAGGAGCTCATCCGCACTCCACCCACAAGGAGCGCTAGGGGACCTCCCGTCCCAGAGGACAACAGTGGGTCCTGCTTCCTCTTGCCCTCCCCTCCGGCCTCTGTCCCTCTAGCCACACTAACCAATCTGTGCTACGTTGATCACCCACGTTGGCCGCCATCTGGACCTTGGGGCATAAGGGGTGGACCTCAGGAGCCAGACTGCTTTCTGTCTATGAGAAAAAGAAGGAGTTAGGGAGACTCAAGGAGAAGCAAGAAAAAGTCACAAAGTGGGGAAGAGAAGGAGATGGGCTCATGAGAAGCCAGACAGAAAAGGAGTGTCGGTGAAATGAGGACTCACTGAAGAGGATTCTGGGTGTGGAATAAAAGAAAAGGGCTTCTGTGTGAGGGGAAGGCCTTCGCCTCCCTGCAGTGCTCTGGGTGGAACAGGAAGGATCCGAAAACGGGGAAGGCTGAAGGAATTTCCCAAAGGGGAAGAGAAGGACCTGAAACCCCTAAGAGAAGAGGGAAGGCCCGAGGGAAACCCTGGCACAGAGGGCGGGAGGGGGTGGAGGGACCTCAAGGAAGGGCTAAAAAGCATTCCAGAGGGAAAAACAGCTCCTGAGAGGAAGCAGAACAAAGTCTGTAAAGAGGGAATCTAGAGAGAACTCCAGAGGAAAACAACTCCAGAAGTCACTCCGGGAAACAGGGAGAAGCCCCGAGTGAGCACGGGGAGCCCTGAAGGGAAGAAACGCGCTCTCGGAAAGCTCTCAGGAGACTGCTGTTAGAAACAACCCCCACGGGCTGGGGGGCTCCGGAGAGGGAGCGCTGGAGATGCCTCACCACGTCCAAACCACCTTCCGGAAACTCCCAGTGGGGCGGGTAGGACTGCGAGAAAGCGAGGGCTGCCTTGGGGCCTAAACCTGGGGGGTTGAGAAGCATGGGTGGACTCCGAGGCGAGTCCCCGCCGGAGACCCCGACGGTCCTACAACAAGTGAGGGGACGGGAACGTGGAAGACGCCCTGGACAAGCAAGCTCGCGAAGGGGCGGGGAGAGGCAGGAGGGGACGAGTGGGGGACAGCGCATGGAGACAGCGGGCGTGTCTCACGGGCACCGGACGCGAGGGGCACCTGGCCGTCCCGGGGGCCCCGAGAGAGCAGTGGCGCCAGGTGGAAGCAGAGCCCGTCCGGATGCCGGCGACCCACTCTAGAGTCACCGCCCGGCCGCGCCGCGCGTGCGCACCACGACTCCGGCGGGGAGAACGCGGCTCCGGAGCCGCGCGTCGCCGGGGCAACGCCATCCTCCCGGTGGAACCGCCCGGTCAATGGGGGTTGAAAGGGGGTGCTCGGGGCCCAGGAATTCCGAGGGCGGGGGCGGGGAGGCCGGCCGACGGCGCAGGCGCGAGGGCGCGCAGGCGCAGTGGCCGCCCGTGCCCGCCACACCCAGTCGTCGCTCGCGCGCGGCGTCCGTTGGTGCGACGGCCCACCAGGCCTCGGGACCCGCTGGGCGTAGGGCCGGAAGGAGATGCCGTCCCCGCCCGCCCGCCCGCCGCTCCCCACACCCACCTCAGCCGTCCGCCCCCTGGACTCGTCAGCAGCGGCCCAAGGCGACAGCGACACGGCCGCGGAACTGCTCGCGACCCGGCCGGTTCTCGTCTTCCTTGGGCTTCGACGTTCTGACCGCGGCGTCCTGACGTCACGCGGAGGCCTCGCCCCACCTCCCTCGACCCTGCACCGCCAATGGGCGCCGCGGGCTTGACTTGGGCCCGCCCTCCGCTTACGCAAGGACGCGTGGGCGTTTAAGGCAAGCCGGAAGACAGGGTGGGGACGGTGGCCCCGAGGGGACACGCGCGGCGGAGTCCGCCGGCGCTGTGCCCGAGCACGCAGTTCTATTTTGGCTCAGTGAGTGGTAGGCATTGTTTCCAGATACAAGCTAACGTGAGGAGGGTTGTAAGACTACCTCCGTACAGCGATGTGGAAGCCCAGGGCAGAGCATGGTGAAGTCGGAGAAAGGGGGTGAGAGCAGCCTCCAGCCGGGAAGGGGAGCTTCCCTGGTACATAAAATTGCAGAGGCGCCCGTGGCAGAGGACGCGGCGCGTGCAAACACACGGAGGCGGGCGACCGGCAGAGCCTGGGACCTGGGGACTACAGGGGGACCATGGCTGGGGCAGATGGCTGCGGCGGAGTGGACGTGTGCGGGGTCCGGGGTTGAGCGGATAGGTCTGGGCAGGTGGGGGTCCGGGGCTGAGTGGATAAATGTGTACAGGTGGGCGGGTGGGGTTCCCGGGCCTAGCAGATAGGTGTGTACGGGTGGGCATGTGGGGGTCTGGGGCTGAGCGGGTAGGTGTGTACAGGTGGGCAGGTGGCAGCCACTGGAAGTGCACTGGGGCCAGGTTGGGGAATGTGGACCTGGTGGACAGCAGTGTGCCATGTGTTTCCATCCAGGCTCCTGACCGATGACATGGTCCAATGCAGCTCAGGAACCGCTCCATGTAGTCATCGTAGGCGGTAGAATAGTATTTCAGAAGCGATTTCCTTCCACATTAAAAATTTTTAAAACTGTTAGAAACTCTTGTATTGATGACGGAGTATCATTTTGTTAGCACAGTTGATCTTTTTCTGTCCTTTCACTTAAAAAAAAAAACTGTCGTAAGACAATTTGGGGTTTACAAAAAGTTGCAAAGGTAGTTCAGAGTCCTGGGTACCCTACAGCTGGTTTTCCCTAATGCTATTATCTCGCATTCCTGTACTATATTTGGTAAAACCAAGAAACCATCACTGGCACATTACTGATAACTAAGTTGCAGCTTTATTTGAATTCTTTTTTTTAAAGATTTTATTTATTTACTTGAGAGAGAGAATGAGAGAGAGAGCACATGAAAGGGGAGAGGGTCAGAGGGAGAAACAGACTCCCCGCTGAGCAGGGAGCCCGATGCAGGACTCGATCCCGGGACTCCAGGATCATGACCTGAGCCGAAGGCAGTCGCTTAACCAACTGAGCCACCCAGGCGCCCTGAATTTCTCTTTTTCCACTAACCTGTCCTTTATGTGCCAGAGTCCAGTCCAGAGGACCCCACTACATTTAGCATCCCTATACTTTCCACTGTTATATTTAAGGTGGGTTTCTGGTATGTAGTGTGTAGTGGGATCCTTCTTTTAATCCAAGCCAACAATCTCTGCCTTTTAAAAGAGGTGTTTATAACTGCACTTTTAACACGATTTTTGGTATGATTATGTGTAAATTTATCATTTTGCTATCGGGTTTCTATCTGTCCCATCTTTGTTTCCCTTTTTCTGCTTTCTGGTATGAGATTATCTTTTTTTTAATTGTATTTTAGAGCAGTTTTAGGTGGGGTCTTTGGGACATGTTCTGCCTCAGTTCTCCTCGGCGGCCCTGCAGTCAAGACTCTCATGACCGTGGGCTGTGGCGATGTCAGGGCTCACCTTGATGTCTTCTGTCTCAAGGATCACTCTCCTTTGCCTGATGCTGAGTCTTGAGCACTGTTATTTCACATATTTTGTCTGGCCTTTTGGTTGTTTCAGGAAGGAGAGCAAATCTAGTCCCTGTTCCTCCATCTTGGTTGGAAGTGAAAGTTCTCATATGTATGGTTTTTAAACAAAAGTAGATTTTCCCTTTGTAAAGGTTATGCAAAATGTCCTTCTTTCTTGGTTAAAGCTTCCAGGTTAAAGATCATTGCCGGGCCTGTTGGCAGGAAATCAGGTGGCCTGAATCTCAGGGTGCTTTTGGAATATCCCAACACATCAGCTTCAGCTTGTGGACGAGGACTCAGGGTCGCCAGAGGGCAGTGTTGGAGATCAGCGCAGCCAGAATAGCCGCGGGCCGGCCCAGGGTCTGGCAGCCCCGCTAGTCGAGAGGAGAAATTGAGTCAACGCTTGGCCCCCAGAGCCCCTCACTGGAAACTGCGGTCGATTTTTCCATCCCAGCTTCAGGCCACTGCACACAGAAAACTTCCTTGAACGTTACTTGCCGTGCACAAGACAGAGACGATTAGGAAGCCCAAGAGCAGCTCCCCAGTGGCAGGTCCCCATCGAGGGTCTCACATCCGGCACTGCAGGCCACCAAGCCTGACCCAAAACCCTCGTGCACAGTACCTGCACTACTCTGATGGCGCTTGGACGTGACCCCATCAGTGTTTCCAGAGGGGGGGAGCATGAGCATTCACACCAGGCGGGGGAGTAGTCTGTTTTTGCTGCCCGGCGAGTTGAGGGAGACTTGTGGTCTAGGAGAATCTCAGAGGAGGGCCTGGGGAGCTGTCTTACATCCCCCTGCCAAGGGGGTGAAGCGGCGGAACTCCCACAGGTCACATGACTGCCCACAGCCATCTGGTGGTGAGTGTCAGGCAGGGCCCTTAATCATGGCCTCCCCTGCATTTGTCCACTGTGCTGCCACAGTCTGTCACCCTCAGCTCACCTCTCCTTTCCTAGGCTGTCCCTAAAATCCTGAACACAAGAGCCGTTGTGTTCCGGAGAGCCCTGCAGTGCGGTGATTTATGGGACTCAGCCCCTCTCCGCGGCCTTCAGCTCAGAGTTCAGCCCGTCCACGGCCCTTGACAGACATCCTGAGATTTTGATGCCTCTGCTTCATTTTCCCCAGAGTATAACAGCCTGGCTAGAGGGTCATACGTGAGCAGACTGTCACCACAGCGTCGGGAGCTGCGCGCCCCAGCGTCCTCCAGAGCCCAGCCTTGGCCAGCGTCAGTTCTCAGCACTGTTCTCACTGTGTCATTGCACGGTGGCTGGGGAAGGAAAGCGTTCCTCCTCGTTTCAGATTGCACTTCCTAATTGTCACGCTCTGAACACCTTGTTGTCTGTTCCCTGCTATTGGGGTTTGCACTTCATCGAATGTGCATCATAATCGCTTATTTTCAAATTAAGTGGTCCTTTTCTTAGTGTATGGAAGCTTTGTAGATTATGTTTATGTAGTAATAAAAACACATTTCTCAGCCATAGGTGTGAAAACAATTTTTCCCTAGACTACCAATTTGCCTTCTGGCTTTACATTTTATTGTTTTTAGTTCCACAATTTGTGAAATAAATTACCTTCTCCTTGCCAGCTTTGGGGTATCTTGCTGGAAGTGTTCCCTTTCCAGCAAAGGTACACCACATACAAGAGCCTCCTACTTATTCTTTGTGATATGTTTGCTCCTTCCTTTGTCTCTGGTAGATTTTCACCTATCTCGTCTGTAGAACATCTTCTTCCACACGGAGACCAATGGTGTCCGCAGAGCTTTGAAACCACACAGCCTTTCACTCTGACTTGACATCTGTCTTCTGTCTCACACACACACACACATCTATTCTTGGCTTGTCTGATCTCTTCCTGGGTCAGGACATGTGTCCTACTTTTAGAATCAGGCAAAAAAGTCATTATTATTTTAAAAACAACAAAACAAAAACCCAATGTCCTTGGAAATGCCTGGCAGCCAGGAGGAGGCAGTGGAGGGGTCTCCCCGGCCCCAACCAGGAGGCCAGAGCAGGGAGGAGAAAAATAAGGACCCAGCTGCTTGTAAAATAAAGTTTTCCCTTTTATTTCAAATCAACCCATTCCCGAGTTAGTGCCATAAGTTGAGATGACAGCCCTAAGCCCCCTGGGGCCTGGCAGGGACAAGGACACTCATGTCCCTCCGAGGATGGGCCTGGTGGCCAGGGAGGCGTGAGGGGTTGCGGGGCTAGCTGGCTGCCCCTCCCCGCCAGCCCCAAGGCCTGGCCTGCCCCCTGGCTGACTCCCCGGGGCAAGGGCGCGTGGGAGAGGGGGCAGGGCAGGGAGGTGGCCTGTGTGGGTGTCCGTGGCCAGAGATGCTGTTAGAGGCAAGAGCCCAGTCAGGCTGGGTTAGTGGGGTCTTCTCCGGCAGCCAGGGAAGGAACTGCAGAGAGAGGCAGACACAGCGCACCAGATGCAGGCGGCAGGGCCACGCCCCTGCCCGGAGCGAGAGAGGGGAGCAGGGGCTGACCACGGGGGGAGCTGGAGTGCCACTCTGGAAGCTCACCGGGGTGGGGGCTCAGCCTCCAGTCTGGCACGGAGGAGGGGCTCAGATAGATGACTGCCACTGCACGAAGCGCTTGGATTCCTGCGGGGGAGATCGGGGAGGGGGCATGGAAGGTATCTGGCTTTGTAGCACAGGCCCTTGGCCTCCCTCACACCCGCAAGTCCGGTACCTGAGGGTTGAAAGGGTCGTCATCATCTGCGTCGTCATAGTCGTCACTGGGGGGCGATGGGAGTGGCAGAGAAGCAGGATGGGGGACCTGTCAGGAGGCTGCCGCCCCAACAGCAGCCCAGAGGTCCAGCCCACACCGCCTCCCCCCGGGACCACGCCCGCCCTCCCCTCCTGACCTGGGTGGGAAGAGGGCCCAGGCACGGGGCAGGCTGCAGAGGGCGGTGGCTAGGGCCCCTGCAGACAGGAGGGAGAAGAGCAGCAGGAAGAGCAGGCCTTCCAGGGCATCCTCACACAAGCCCCGCAGGGCAGCGCCGTAATCCTGGGGTGGCCGGGGCGGGGGGGGGGGCAGGTGTCAGCGGGCACGCCTCCTCAACCCCACACGGCCGGCTGTGCCATGCTGGACAAGTCATTCAATATCTCTCTGCCTCCGTACAAGCACACAGGAGGTGCTCCAAGCACAGTCATCATTACACGTGCAGGTGTAA